GAGAGAAGAGAGAGAGACAGACAGAGAGAGAGAGAGAGAGAGGAGAGAGAAGAGAGAGAGAGAGAGAGAGAGAGAGAGAGAGAGAGAGAGGAATGAGAGAGAAAGAGAGAAAGAGCGACAGAGAGAGACAGAGAGAAAGAACGAGAGCGAGCGAGCGAGAGAGAGAGAGAGAGACGAAAAAGAGAGAGAGAGAGCGAGAGAGGAAGAAGAGAGAGAGGAGAGAGAGTGAGAGAGAAGAGAGAGAGAAGAGAGAGAGAGAGAGGAGAGAGACGAGGAGGAGAGGAGAGAGGAGAGGACTGAGAGAGAGAGACGAGAGAGACAGAGAAAGAAAGAGAAAGAAAGAGAAAGAAAGAGAAAGAAAGAGAAAGAAAGAGATAGATAGATAGATAGATAGATAGATAGATAGAGAGAGAGGAAGGAAAGAGAGAGTGAGAGGAGGAGGGAAAAAAGAGAGGGAGGGAGGGAGGGAGAGATAATAAAGAGAGGAAGAGGAGGAGGGAAAGAGTGAGAGACAAACAGGCAAACAGACACACAAACGGACACAGAATTTAAGAGACAAACAGACAGACATTCAGAACCAGACAAAGACAGAAACAAACAAAGAAAGAACCCAAAATAAATAAACAAAAAAAAGCAAAAGACAGACAAAGGGCCACACAGACAGCAGACACGGAGACCAACAGACACACAAAACGACAGACAGACACATCCGGCGACAGAGAGCATTTTGGCTGTGAATTTCTCTTGAGAATTTCCTCTTGGCCTGCTCAGAGGTCGCTGATTTCCACGAATGATAACAAAAGCTATCATCTCTTTTCCATTCGCTTTTTTATTTTTTATTTTTTTCGTTTTAAAGGTTGCTTCACGGGAAGCACTATATTCTTACAAGCGCGCTCTCTGTCTGTCTGTCTCTCTCTCTTAATCTCTCTCTCTCTCTCTCTCTCTCTCTCTCTCTCTCTCTCTCTCTCTCTCTCTTTCTCCCTCCCTCCCTCTCTCTCTCTCTCCTCTCTGTCTTTGTCTCCTCTCTCTCTCTCTCTTCTCTCTCTCTCTCTCTCTCTCTCTCTCTTCTCTCTCTCTCTCTCTCCTCTCTCTCTCTCTTCTCTCTCTCTCTCTCTCTCTTCCTCTCTCTCTCTCTCTCTCTCTCTCTCTCTCTCTCTCTCTCTTCTCTCTCTCTTCTCTCTTTCCCTTCTCTCTCTCTCTCTCTCTCTCTCTCTCCCATCCCTCCTTTCCTCTCTCTCTCTCTCTCCTCTCTCCTCTCTCTCTTCCTCTCTCTTCTCTCCTCTCTCTCTCTCTCTCTCTCCTCTCTCCCTCTTTCCTCTCTCTCTCTCTCTCTCTCCTCTCTCTCTCCCTCTCTCTCTCTCTCTCCCATTTCTTGCAAACACAACACCCACAATGAACATTCCTTGCATCCTGAATCGCGCACACGTGTGAACATAACCGGCCAGATGAACACGTACACACGATACTCCTCCCCACAGGCTTCTGCCCCCCCCCCCCCCCCATCCCCCCTTCTCCCTCCCCCCCCTTTCCCCTACAATGCTTGTCCCACAATTCTCTTCTGTGTTCATCTTCACCTCCCCTCACCCCCCCCCCTTCCGCCTCCCTCCCTCATCTACCCAATATCCTCCCTGCCCCCCCCCCCCCCCCTCCTCCTCCTTCCCTCCCCACAATCCTGTCCTCCTCCCCCCTTTCCCCCACAATATCCTCCCTGCTCCCCCCCCGTCCCTTCCCCCCCTCCTTTCCCCCACAATATCCTCCCTGCCCCCCCCCCCCCCCTCCTCCGCCTTCCCTCCTTGATCTACCCAATATCCTCCCTGCTCCTCCGCCCCTCCCTCCACCTTCCCCCTCCTCCCCCTTCTGACCCCCCACAATTTCCTCCCTTCTCCCTCCCCCCCCTCCCCTCCCCTCCACCTCCCCCACCTCCCTTCTCCCACAATATCCTCCCTGCCTCCCCCCCATCCCCTTCCCCCCCTCCTTTCCCCACAATATCCTCCCTGCCCCCCCCCCCCCCCCACGCACACACCCACACACTATTCCACGGACACCTGCAGTAGGATACCCTTCCCTGTGGGCGGTGGGCGTGGCTCATACCTGCTGGACATCGCCCTACTCTCACCCCTCCCCCCCCTCTCCCCTCCCCTGCCCTCCTCCCCTCTCTCCCCCCCGCCCACACACTCGTCCTAACCTCTTCTCCCTCTCTTTCTTTCTATTTTCTTTCTCCTCTCCCTCTCCTTCTCCTTCTCATTCTCGATTTTTTTCTTCTGTTTTTTTTTCTTCTCCTCTTCTCTTTTTTTTCTCTCTCTCTTCTCTTTCTTTTCTCTTTTCATTCTCGATTTTTTTTCTTTCTGTTTTTTTCTTCTCCTTCTCTTCTTCTCTCTCTCTTCTCTTTCTTTTCTCTTCTCATCCTCACTTCTTTTCTTTGTTTTACTTCTCTTCTCCCTCTCTTCTCTTTCTTCTCCTCTTACATTTTCTTCTCTTCTTCCTCTCTTCTCCTCTCCCTCTACTCCACTCCTCTCCCTTCTGTTTCCTTTTTTATTCCTTATGCCTCCCTATATCTTCGTCCTCTATTCCTCCTTCCCCTTTCTCTGTCTCCTTCTTTTCCATCTCTCTCCTTTCTCTGTCTCCTTCTCCTCCTCTTTCCCCTTCCTCTGTCTCCTTCTTCTCCATCTCTCCTTCACCCCTTCTCCCTCCTCCCCCTTCCCCCCCTCTCCCTTTTGTCTTCATCTTCCCCCCTCCTTCCTCCTCCTTCCTCCGTCTGTCTCCATCTCCATCCACCCCCTCCCCCCACTCCTCCTTCATCTCTCTCCTTCTCTCTTCCTCTGTCTGCCTCCATCACCCTCCCCCCCCACCCCTCCTTCCTCCCTCAGTCCTCCTCAGGATCTCCCTCCCCCCTCCTTCCCTCCCTCCCCCCTCCTCCTCCTCCTCCTTATCACCTCCCCCTTCCCCCCTTCTCACTCATCACCCTCCCCCCTTCCCTCCTCCTCCTCCTCCTCCTCCCTCCCCCCCTCCTCCTCCTCCTCCTCCTCCTCCTCCTCACCCCCCCCTCCTTAACACCTCCCTCCTCCTCCTCCTCACCCCCCCCTCCTTAACACCTCCCTCTCTCCTCCTCACCCCCCCCTCCTTAACACCTCCCTCCTCCTCCTCCTCCTCCTCCTCCTCCCTTCTCACCCCCCCCTCCTTAACACCTCCTCTCTCCTCTCCCTCCTCCTCTCTCCCTCCTCCTCCCTTCTCACCCCCCCCTCCTCCTCCTCCCTCCTCCTCCTCTCCCTCCTCCTCCTCCCTTCTCACCCCCCCCTCCTTAACACCTCCCTCCTCCTCCTCCTCCTCCTCCTCCTCCTCACCCCCCCCTCCTTAACAACCCCCCCCCCCCTCCTCCCTCCTCCTCCTCCTCCTCCTGGCCAGCCTCCCGGTCCGCCAGTCTGCCTCTGACCGCCGCGAAGTCCACTCGGCGAAGCAAGTGAAGCGAAGTGAACTTTTTGAAGCAAAGATGTCTTCGCTAACATCCTTTTCGGTGAGTGTGAGAGCGTGAGTGTTTTTTTCTTTTTTCTCCAAAAATGAAGTAGAGTGAAGGTTTAGCTTTAAAAAAAATAGATAATAGATAAATAAATACTAGATAATGATAATAATGATGTATTTGCGTATTCAGTTCCGTGATCGATCTATCTATCAGATTTAATCTCCGTTCAATAAATAGATATGAGTTTTGAGGGACTGGAACGCAACAGGTGTGGTGGTACAGCGTGTGGTGGGATTCAGGGTACCACTATACTACCACTGTGGTTGGTATTCTGTCCCTCGCAGCCACACACGCATACCAGGAAGTGATCGAAATCCATCCCTTTGTTCATTTCTTTGTTCATTTTTTTTTTCATTTCTTGTTTATTTCTTTGTTCATGTCTTTGTTCATGTCTTTGTTCACAGGTTTTTGTTCATCCTTGTTCATCCTTTGTCTCTCTCTTATTTGTTCTTCCGAGGTGAGAGAGAACACGAGAGAACAGTGGGGGGGGAGAAGGGGGGGTTAAGGGGTTCTCGAGTGGTTTGTGGATTGGGGTGTGGATTAGGTATGTGTGTGGGGGGGGAGGAAATTCTGATTCACCTCAGAGGAGGATTCGGGCGAGTGACTGTGGTGGAGAGGGAGGGGGGGGGGAGAAGGATTCGCCTAAAAGGGGTTGTGGCGATGTCCTCTCCCTGTGCCCTCCATCCCTCCTCTCCTCTCCCTCCTCCTCTCTCCCTCCTCCTCCTCCTCCTCTCCCTCCTCCTCTCCTCCTCCTCTCTCCTCCTCCTCTCTCCCTCCTCCTCCTCCTCCTCCTCCTCCTCCTCTCCTCCTCCTCCTCCTCCTCTCTCCTCCTCCTCTCTCCCTCCTCCTCCCTCCTCCTCCTCTCTCCCTCCTCCTCCTCCTCCCCCTTCTCCCTCCTCTCCCTCCTCCTCTCCTCCTCCTCTCTCCCTCCTCCTCTCCTCCTCCTCCTCCTCCTCCTCTCCTCCTCCTCCTCCTTATCACCTCCCCCTTCCCCCCTTCTCACTCATCACCCTCCCCCCTTCCCTCCTCCCCCCTCCTCCTCTCTCCTCCTCCTCTCTCCCTCCTCCTCCTCCTCACCCCCCCCTCCTTAACACCTCCCTCCTCCTCCTCCTCCTCCTCCTCCTCCTCACCCCCCCCTCCTTAACACCTCCTCTCTCCTCCTCCTCCTCACCCCCCCCTCCTTAACACCTCCCTCCTCCTCCTCTCCTCCTCCTCCTCCTCCTCCCTTCTCACCCCCCCCTCCTTAACACCTCCTCTCTCCTCCTCCTCTCCTCCTCCTCCTCCTCCTCCTCCTCCTCCCCCCTCCTCCTCCTCCCTCCTCCTCCTCCTCCTCCTCTCTCCCTCCTCCTCTCTCCCTCCTCCTTTCCTTAACACCTACCTACTCCTCGCCAGCTCGTCCTCCTCCCTCCTCACCCCCCCCTCCTTAACAACCCCCCCCCCCCCTCCTCCTCCTCCTCCTCCTCCTCCTGGCCAGCCTCCCGGT